AGCAAGGAAAAGCTTTTAGGCACAAATGTGGCTTCTCCAGGTCGGCAGCAGAGAGGGAAAAGCACAAACCTAAATAAGGCTGCGTCTGAGAGGAAAGGTCCCCCTGAGACAACAGCGCTGGCATGGGGTGGCCACACAGGGAGGAGTGCTGGGCACCAGGCTTCCCAACCACACTGGTCCTCCTGGCTGGCTGCGGTGCCCATGGGGGCCGGGGCTGGCCATGGGCATGAGGCTCCGTCACCTAAAGTCTCTTTGTGCTGGATGACAATAGCATCCAGGGACAGGAACCACTGCTTCTGCCTTACTGACCACTTCCAGTCAAGATTCCTGCTAATGTTTATTTGATCTCCGCTTTTTCCATCATATCCAGGGGAACAGGGGGGGAACAAACTGCTTTTGACACCGTATCATAGAACAGTTAGAGTTGGAAGTGACCTTAAAGACCATCTCATTCCGACCCCCCTGCCATGGGCAGGGACACCTTCTACCAGCCCAGGTTGCTCCAAGCCCCATCCAGCCTGGCCTTGAACACCTCCAGGGATGGGACATCCACAAATTCTCACAGTTCTTCCAACTACACATTATTCATACCTTCTCCCTGTTTCTTTCCACCTAGCTTCTCTCTTTTCTCACTTTCCCACGTTGGAAAATCCACCGCCAGGTTCATTAACCACCTCACAAGGATAAAGAATTTTTTATTTGCTGATTTGTTACGTGGCTACACTGCATTTACCTTGTCTGCTTAATTGCTGCCTACCGGTCGGCCGACCGCTGTGTTTACATCCATCATGTTTGCATTTAAAAGTTAACAAATTCAAAATTAAGACTTTTGTTTCCGATCGGGGCCGCCCCTGCCCTCCCGCTCGGCGGTGACCGCGGGCAGAGGGGACCAGGGCTCATTTAAAAGCACTGACTTTTTTGGGATGAAGGAAGGTGTGGGGCGGAGATCCCAGGCGGACGGGGGACGCGGTTTCCACGTGATGATGCTCCCGCGTCCAGGTGATGCTTCACCTTTGCCCCCTGACTTCCCCCCCCTCCCTCCAAAAAAAGGGGCAG